TATATTACTTCGTCACAATCCATATTTGCAATACATACGCAGACAGCTTTGTCCCTCCGTGCAAGAGGCAAACTTCAATTGAACTTCAATTAAAAAGCAGTGCCTTAGGCATTTAAGTGCAAAAGGATCTTCCCTTTGAAGATCCTCCTCACCCTGCCCCCATCAACATGTTTTTAAGTTCCCAATTTCCCACTATAAAAATTACTTTCACAATTATGTAACCATTGTACATACCACCAAATATACCCTGGAATTTTGGTAACATGTTTGGCTTCCTACCACAATTTAAATGGGAAAAGCATAATTAAGTTATATCCCTAATGTCTGGCTTCAAATCCTGACCAATATTTCTGTCCACATGGCTTAACAGAGTCGCAGATGCCTGTCTTAATCCTGTATCCAAGCGTCAGAACCGAAGCTGTGATATTCAAGTTCTATACATGCGTACATGCACGTTAATATATATTTTAGAGCATAAAAGCATTGCACTATCAAGGTAGAAAAGCGAACAGACACATTTCTGTAGAGCCTGCTACCACATGCCCAGCACAGGAAATAAGTAATTTTTCAGCATTTTCTGAAGAAGTACATTTCTTAACATTGCAAGTGATTTATGTGAAATGAAAGTAATTTATATGCTTGTGGAATTCAAAATGCATTAAAGACTTCTTCATTTTGAAAAGCCACAACTAGATTTTGAGAAGGATGCACTACAGATGTGTACACCTGAACAGGAGAAAAATCCATAGTTGTCTAGCTGTTGCTCAAAAGTCTAGACAGTTTGCCCTGCAAGAAATTACTAAGCCAAAAATGCACCTTACTTGAAGACATACTTTTGCAAACTACAGCTTCCACCTCTAGTTCCATTTACCTAAAACCTGCAATATACGCAGTATGAAGAGTTAACAGTAGCCTAGAAACCACATGTTAAAACTCCATAGAGGGTTTGTCATAGTATGTTGAATTATTCTGCCACATTGGCTTCATACAGCTGCAGAATAAGTGAAGCAGGGGGAGACGAATCAAATGTGTGTGATAACACACTGTGGACCAGAAAAAAACAAGAGTAACAGCAGTAATATTGATAGCATGAGGCCACCTGGACAGGCAAGTGACATGGCAGATGTGATAAATCAAACCTCACATGGCATCATCTGAGAATGAGCAAGAAATGTTTTGATGTGTGATCAGCACTGAGACTCCTGTACACACAATACTCGAGTAGTGGGAATGGTCGTCTCCCCCGTCTTTGGGGGCCTACAAGGAAGCTGGGGGGGACTTTTTACAAGGGCCTGTAGTGACAGGACAAGGGGGAATGGGTTTAAACTGAAAGCGGAGAGATTTAGATTAGATATCAGGAAGAAGTTCTTTATGGAGAGGGTGGTGAAGCACTGGAACAGGTTGCCCAGAGAAGCTGTGGGTGCCCCATCCCTGGATGTCTTCAAGGCCAGGCTGGATGTGGCTTTGAGCAACCTGGTCTGGTGGAAGGTGTCCCTGCCCATGGCAGGGGGGTTGGAACTAGATGATCTTTAAGGTCCCTTCCAACCCTAACCATTCTATGATCTTTTCACAGACACTATTCAGTTTGAACAAAGGAAATCTTGTTGGAAGCTACAGCTTTGCTAGACAACAGAAGAACTGTCTTAAGCATTAATGATTAGCCGACTAATATATTTCCCATCAAATGAGTAAACAAAGATTTTCAATATGGTTGAATAGAAAAGTATTTGTTAAGATCCACAAAATAAAAAAGGACCCAAATGCAGAGAGACACAGCCCTGATCTTGAAGCAGCCCAAGCTCTAAAACCTGCAATCTATCACGTAAGAGACAGAAGAGGTCAGCCATTAATTAACATCCAAATTAAAGCTTTTCAATTACGGGTCAAAACTTCCTTTGTTTTGACATTTAAATCACTGGCAGTGTATTCCCCAGTTTAGTATGCACAACTCATCACCTAACGTCTTTATGTTAATTGCCTCGATTTTTCAAGTGCACTATTTGATTCATTGTCAATTAAAAATACCCCCAAAAGCCAAGACTCCTGTATGTTAAGTATAAACATGATTAATGTAACACAATTACATTTCCACATTTGATGAGCCTGATTAGGAACTTTCCATCAGCTTGGCCTGACAGAGCACTGTCACGACCAGTGACCTGTCAGCCCTGTCAAAGACAAGCTTTCTGATGGGGAAGTATTTCATAGCCACAAATGTTTCAGGAAGGTATAAAACCTGTAATTTAACACTGTCAATTGTCACTTTATCAAGAAAGTGGCCATCTTTATGACATTCTGAGACTGGATCCCCTCCCACTACAACAAGGGAACAACTGGGTTCAGAAAACTGCACTCTGGGAAAGAATTGGGCAGACCAAAAGTAGGAGAGCAAAGCCTGATTTTGTTTGTGGATGCAAAAGACACAAGGTATAAGGAGATAAAGGAGGCTCATAAGGGAAACAAAAAAAAAAAAAAAATTTAAAAACCCAAGATAAAATAGGAAAATAAAACGGTCCAAGTCTAGAGGCTGCTGCTAAGTACAATGCAATGGCAAATAAATAAATAAAGGCAGTTCAGCCTGAGCGCAAGGAGATAAAAGCTAAGAAACAGCAACGGACTGCCAGTGGGGCTAACCAGAAGGAGGTGTGCATACACAACTGGGCTATGCAATTGTTATGGCCAGCTTCTAAGTAGGTTTCAGTAAGAATTACTACAAATCAGAGTAAGAAATAAGATACAATTCTGCAACCTCAGTTTGGGCTTCTCTTCCTCCTTCCCATCAGTAAATATAAAATATAATTAACATTGCTGTATGTAGAAGTAATAAATACATAAGAACCAGTCATAACCTATATTTAATTACAAGGGAGATACTAGCAATAAAATGTACAGTAGGTCCTTGTTTAAATTGAAAAATAAAACAACAAAAATACTTTTATTGCACTTCAGAACAGAATTAAGGAGCTCCTTGGCTTATCGAGGACTCCAAAAGCAATCACTGCAATAGGCCTGCTATGCATATTTGCTCTATTAATTTACACAGCCCTGGTAAGCCTCACATTGCAATGCAACCGCTAAATTACACCGCTTTTGGGTAATGGGTATAAAGAGATGCAAGAGCATGCAAAGTGTATTCAAACAGACAATTAAAAATATCAATTCTCTTGACAGCTAAAATGAAGAAACTGTGCAGGGGTTTAATGCTGCTGCATGAAGGACATACTGTTGACGAGTGATTGAATTAACTAGAATCACGCATCGACAGCCTGCCTTTGTCGAACATTACATATTAGGCCAATTTAGTGTCTGCTTATTAAAATAATTTAATTCTGAAGATTGTTTCCTGGCATTTGTAAATCTCCTCATGCTCTTCCCTCCTCCTCACATTAATGATGGCATCTTAATTATTGAGCTAGTTTCACACCAGTGCAATTAGCTGGGTCACCACAGAGCAGCCCAGTCAACTCTGACTTAACCGACTTGTCCTTCAGGTATTTGGGAAGATGAGGAAAAATCAGCAACAGATCTGGCCAGACAAACTATTGCCTCAAAATTCAGAAGCAGATGAAGAACATGACGAAGTTTATTTTTATTCAACTTAAAACTAACTTGTTCATTGCTTTTCTTCACAGAGGTTTTCAACTTTGCATGCATATTAAATCTATTAGACTTCCTATATTATATAAATTTCTACTCTTAACCACATAGAAATGATACAATAAAAATTTCAAAGAAAACGCAATGCCTAAAAAATGAGAAGTTTGAAATCTCACTTCTAAACTGAATAATAATCTCACATCTCTGAATAGCATTACTACCTATGAACCAGATTTCCTCTGAAAATGCAAGTCAGACTAAGTAACATCAAAATGCTTAGACTAAAAATGTATCCTAAATATTTATTTTGGATTTTTAGATGATCTTTAAGGTCCCTTCCAACCCAAACCTTTCTGTGATTCATCCAAACATGCATAACAGTAAAAATATATCAATACGTAGTAGTAACATCTGGAGGGAACTGAGATGGGAAATGAGTGCCTTCAATAAGCAATACTGCTTTGCATTTCTTAGTTTCACCAAACTATCACTATGCACCCCATCACAGGATCTAGATACTGTATGTAGGTGCCAAGCACTACTGTCTCATGCTGCAAACCTAACGAAATTCTTGGTTCAACAGCAGGCAACCAAGCATGACAAAGAAACTATTAAAAACATGTATTACACTGAAAATCACCAGCATGTTTGGAAGTTATAAAAAGAGAAGCACTTAGTATCTAAGTCTTCAAAGTCATTGACTATTGGACAAGGTACTGCCTTGGTTTGACAGTCTCAAACTCCCAAAGCCACAAAACTGAATGAACATGTTGTAAGACTTGCTCATGAAAGTATTTGAATGAACTAACAAAAGGACTGACAGTTAAATCTCCTTCAGTTTCATGCTTTGAGCATATAGTGCCAGATTGGATTTTACAATGTGACACCTGGTCACTGGAGTATTCCAGTTTTACAACACATACAGTAACAATTTGCTGGCATTGATGATCACAAGCTTCATCCAGCCTCCTCTGAATTTCATGTGAAGACCTGGACTTGCACTGACTTTGAATGAAACTTCTATGATATAAGCTTCTAAATATGAGTTGAACAGATGAATTAATAGTGAAATACTGATAGGCAAGCCCTGATCTCCAAGACCACAGGAAAGACTATTAAAAAATTCAGAACAAATTAAGTTTTTAAGAAGTGGATGATTCTAAGTTTTCACAACATTCATACTGTCCCAAATACTGTCTATAGTATTTTGCTATCTCTAATACATGCAACAACAGAATGAAGTCTGTAGAGATATGGGATTAGCGCAGGGGAACCTAGACCGAATCACGGCGATATTCAAAATCCTATGTACAAAACAAAGTTTTCTGATAAGTGGCAGGAGTGACATGAATACATAACCAGATCTGATTTTTGCACAATAGTAATATAGGAAAATAACATACGGTTCAGAACTGGCTGGTCCTCTGTGAATTCAAGTGGCTGTTCAATATAAAAAACTTTTTGCTGGAATCCAGGGACACATTCTAAATCTTCTGCACATGCGAGCAGCAGAACCTGAGAAAAAAAAAAAAAAGGAAATGGATATTTAACATTCCTCATTCATCCATCATGTTGGCTTGTGGGAACAATACTAGGTTTAGGCTCAGTGCTCATAAAACAAAACATTTGGCTCCACGCTCATAAAACAAAATATTCATCACATCACACTTCCCCTTCAAATCTTGCTAAACAATTTTTTATGTAAGGTTTTTGCTTTTATATACGTGGGCTGGCATGGAAATTTCAAAACTGTAGCTTTCAAGGTTAAGCCAAGTTCAGATTATCAGTAATGGATATTATTGATCTTTAGGAAAACATAGGATGTAACGTTGCCTCTAAGAAAATCACAGGTGAATACAGCTAGGCTTAAACACATGCTTAAATTAAGCACTTCAAAGTTGATTTAAACAATTTATAAATTAGGGTCTGCAAACATAGTTTCAGAAACTTGATCACCAAGTTGCAGAAGGAATTTTTTATTCGAGGGTGAAATTTCACATCACAGTTTTCCTTCATAACAGGACTTTGCTAACGAGTGTGAACTCTTGCTTTTTTTTTTTTTCACCTCCTCTCTGAGCCGGTTTGTTCATTTGCCCTGTAATCAAAAGCTTGTTTACAGCAAGGGAAGACTGCAAATGAAACATGTGCATCATAGTGGAGGTGGATCTGAAGGTTAAAGTTGAATACAGTTTGTGTCACTGTTAGTATGTGGTCACCAAAGTTCCCTGTCACCACAGGAACACCTTAGCAAAGGAGGAAGCTTAAAAGCAAAATTAAATTGGTTGGAAATAGGTACAATACTAATCTCTGTCTCTGAAGGTGTGTGTTCTATCCCTGAATAGAGACAACCACCTGAAAGGCTATTTTTCTTGGCAGCTTTTAAATGAGAGCATGGGGATAAGAATGTCCTAAGTGGCAGCAAGAAAAGAATTACTAAAAAGTTTAAAAGGTTAAAGAGAGAGGCAAAAGATGGCAAGTTCAAGAGTAGGAAAAGCCAAACCTGTATTTTGCAACCTACGTATGTCTAACTGCATTTTCAAAAGTACTCTCTGCTTCAAAACCTCTACAGGTGTTTTTCAAAACCTGACTTTCAGCTGGTGTACAGAGTACTCTGATCTCAAAGTTATTATGGCCAGTCTGCTGCCTGTTGTACAGCCGAAGAAAAATCAAGTAGAGATGGCACACACAGTGAGCAAGAAGAAAACAGTCAACCACAGTTGTTCTGGACATTTCCTCTAAAATTCAAGTGGCCCTACACAAATAGGTCTGTTCACTCAAGATATCCTCAACAGGTGGTCACAGTTTTGCAAAAAAAGCTCTTCAGCTCTAAAGTGAGGACAATTCCCCTCCTTTATGACACAGGCTCAAATATGCCAATCCTCATCCTAGAGAGATGTCCTGCCAAACTTTAACATCTGAATGTTTCCCTCTTAACCACTTCTCATAGTCCATTGGCTAAATCAGAGAAATAAATTACCTGTCCTTTCCCCTCCTGCACTTGACACTTGCTATAAGTTTTATGTGATCCCATTTGTAAAAACCAGAGGCAGCAATACCCCACCTGGTCTGCATTAGTTGTTCTTATTGAAACCAACTGCTGGATCATTTGTTTCATGTCACTGACATTCGCTATAAAAGCTTGGCTAGAAGTGCTAGCAGGCTGTGAGAAACAGCCAGAATATGTCATGACAATTAAGCTGGTGGTAGTCAAATGCAGCAGCAGATGGACGTCTTTGCCTTCATTCCTGACCTGCTCTATGTCTGTCTCTTTGAAGGATTAATCAAGGAAGAAGGACTTAAAGTAATACAGCAGGCAAGCTGCACCACACTTGACTATTATTCACTTCTATATATCCACATTCAACTATTGACATTGATATATTGATTTTATTGGAGATTCGGGAATCCATAAAGGTTGAGAATTGGATACATCCCCTTAGGTGTTCCAGTATGAGACAACTGCAAATGTGAACTGACACAGTCAGAGCCTCTCTGCAAAATTTCACATAAAACTTGATTACTGATTATTTAAAAAACAGCTTGATATGCATTTAAATGGTCACACACACAGAAAGACAGACACGTGCCTTTTCTGCACACATTTTCTGTGTGCACAGGTGCATTTTTAAAGGTACCTGTCTTTCTGATTCATGGTGGTACTGAATGAATATGCATCAAAATGCAATCACAGCAGAAGGAAGATTCTTCCAATCTCATGATGCAGGCTACAACTGAAGCAAAGTTAACTAACAAGTCATAGAATCATAGAAGGGTTTGGGTTGGAAAGGACCTTAAAGACCATGTTGTTCCACCCTCTGCCAAGGGCAGAGACACCTTCCACCAGACCAGGTTGCTCAAAGCCTCGTCCAGCCTGGCCTTGGACACTCCCAGGGATGGGGCATCCACAGCTTCTCTGGGCAACCTGTCCCAATGCCTCAACACCCTCTTCGGGAAGAATTTTCTTACTGATGTCCAATCTAAATCTCTTCCAGTTCGAATTCATCACCCTTTGTTGTGTAACTACCTCCCCTTGTAAAAAGTCCCACCCCAGCTTTCTTACTGCCGCTTCAGGTACTGGAAAGTGCTAAAAGGTCTCCCTGGAGCCTTCTCTTCTCCAGGTTGAACAAGCCCAACTCTCCCAGCAGCCCTCTGAATATCTTCATGGCCTCCTCTGGATTTGCTCCAACAGGTCAGTATCCTTTTCATGTTGAGGGCTCCACAGCTGGATGCAGTACTCCAGGTGGGGTCTCACAAGAACAGAACAGAGCAGAGGGAGAGAATCACCTCCCTCGCCCTGCTGGCCACACTGCTTTGGATACAGCCCAGGATACAGTTGGCTTTCCGGGCTGCCAGCGCACACGGCCGGCTCATGTTCAGCTTTTCACCCCCCCAGTACCCCCAAGTCCTTCTCCTCGGAGCTGCTCTCCATCCATTCTCCACCCAGCCTGTACTCATGCTTGGGATTGCCCCAACCCAGGTGCAGGACCTTGCCCTTGGCATTGTTGAACTCCATGAGGTTGGCAGTGGCCCACCTCTCCAGCCTGTCCAGGTCCCTCTGGATGGCATCCCTTCCCTCCAGGGTGTCACTGCGCCACACAGCTTGGTGTCGTCGGCAAACTTGCTGAGGGTGCATGCACTCAACCCCACCATCCATGTCGCTGACAAAGATGTTAAACAGCACCGATCCCAATACTGATCCCTGAGGCATTTGCGTTCCTACAGGGGCATTTGAGATGGGCTCCCAATGAAGTTGGCTTGCTGACTGGAGCATCAGGAATTCTCTCATTTTGTTTGCCAGGTGCTCTCCTGGTGACCTGTGATTCTTTTCGAGGCTCTGGATATCTGTTGGTGGCACTAGTGGTTTAGTCTCCTTCCTCCTTCAGACCTAGTTTAAAGCCCTCTTAATGAGGAAGGTCCACACCACGAAAATAGCCCAAGCAATATATGCTTGAATTTAGCTATAACCAGCTCTTATCCCTGAAGAACTAACACCGCAAGTAAGAGGCAAATCATGTTCTGATCTCCCAGCTACTAGCATCTTGAAGTTGGAAGTCTTGTCTTACAGCGCTATAAATAAAAAGCCTGTTTTGGCCATCATTTATGTTGGTACTTGGAAAAGGGAATATGTCTACTTTATCAGATTTGTGACATTACAAGTTGACTTTGAAATCTGGGCAATCTAAATAGGTCATGAGTTAACTTCTGTAAGCGTGGTACAGAAGTCTCACATAATACAGATGTAGCAAATAGAAAATGACCTTTACTCCTTTTGAAATAATTACAAGACTCAAGCTCAGCCTTGCTGTGAAACAGAACATTTTATTCGACTTGTGCAATTCCAGGCACTTTCTTCTTCCTGACACGTCAGCCAAGATGTTAAATTTGTCACCTCACAGGGAGTTTTTAATTAATTATCTTAAAAGCACAATTATTATTTTATTTTTCTCATGAAAAAACTTCTGTTGAACTAAATGTATATCTCCTTAAAATAATTTCTGTTGATGTTCTTCACTTTGGGGAAAAAAAAGTCTTTCAAAATACGTTGAAAAAAAAAAACAAGCAGAATTGTGTTGAAGGCAAAGAGGATTTTTAAATAATGTTTAAATGTCATATATGTAGAATTCAGAATATATAAATATTGTTCACATATCTAGTCAAGTCCTGGGCAATTAGTCTAGAAGGATACTTCACCCACCACTAAGAAAAAAAAAAGACACATTCTTAAAAAAAAAAAAATTACAATTATGCAGCAAATATAATTTGCTCCTGAAAGTCTGAAGGGGCAGAAGTCTGAAAAGCAGACCAGGGAGTCATGACTACTGAGACCTACAGATCCTATATTCACTGACAAGCAGAATCAAAGTTTTTCATAACCTGCTGCTTTTCAGAAATGTACAGAGCAAAGATTCATTTTTAATATCCTGATAATTTGTCTTTCTGAATTTATTACCAGTCACTATAAGGAAATGTCACTAGTTCAGATAACTCCTGTGCAAGTTTGGTCACTGGACTAGAACTATACTTCTGATGAGGTATCAAGCCTATGAAACACCTTTTTTTCCCATTAATAAAACAGTGCACACATGCTGGTGACCTTGAATGACCTCAACATTTGCACTGAAAGCTGCTCACATGGAACATGGATTGGAAAGCAAAAGAGGATGGCGATTTATTGCCATACTGCAGAAGAAATTAATAAAGCCCAATGTTAAAGTACCTTTGGGTATTACCACATCTCAGAAAACAGGGCTCCTCTTACCTCCTTTGCAGGTGACTGAAAGTCACAAACAACCAACCACAGTATTTAAAAATCTTCAAGGGTTTTTGACTCGCCCAGTTTCAGCACATGAAACAACTCCATTCAGGTTTGATGGGCCACAACCCCACTTCAGAAATTAATTTTCTCACCTTTTAGTGTAAACACTCTCATATCTTTATTAGCCCTACCTGTATGAGAAAAACTATCACAAAAATGTAAGCTCCAGAATATTAATTGCATTTTGCACACATTAAGG